GAGGGATGTTTCCGAAGAAGGAATTCCACAATGGACAGGTACTAATAATTCTACTCAAGTTTATTGAGCTGTTCAAATGGATTACTGGTAGTTTATGAACTTACTCAGTTTTTCTGAACACGTTCCTATCAATTATTGAACCTTTCTTTCTATAGTCAGGACGGTCCATATTACGTCTAGGTTCGATTTCCATGCAGGGCACGTCCTGCCCTTGGAAAAAGTTTTGCAAAAGGCAGACCTTCGGAAGTTCCTTCTCTCTTAAGACCCACTTCTCCATTCCCCACCCTAATCCCATCATTTACTGAATTTTCCCCAGCATTCGTAGTACCCTTTCCGAGCTCTTTTATCCCTTCATTTTCTTCCCAAAATAACTGCTCCCGTTGGAGGGGGGGGGAGGGTAACAGCGCATCCGAAAAGACCAATGGTAATGAAAATTAAAGGAAAGATTTCCCACTTGTCATCATTCTATTGAAAATATTCCTTTTATAGGTGTCACCTATACACCAGCTCCGTATCTGCTGCTGATACCGAGTACTGGGAGATAGACGATACTATTGTAAGTTATACATTGTTGGATTACTTCATATTTTACACTGTTACGGGTATTAACAGTGCCAAGTAAAATTGAATAGAACCAACTTTTGAGGCTGATATCAAAAACGACGGTATTTTCACGGAGGGTCACGGTACTACAGTAATCCTGCAACGCTTTAATGCAACCAGCAATCTTCAGTATGTTCATTCCAATAATACCAAGGTAAAGTACTCCTACATTAATATTAAAGCTTCACTGACCATCGTTCGAAAGTGTTTTCAGAACGATTCTATCATGATCAGACTTATTAAAGTACTAAAGACCATTAAGACGCCTAGCAAAGGACAAGCACGTGCTTCCCTATTTATGGTGAGTGATTTGGATTCCTTTCCTCCTTTTCCCTTCCGGGATAGGTTGATTTGTGCGCGCGGTCGCGAAGGCAGTAATGAAATACAGAACGAAATATGCAGGATTATTTCCAGAGAGATCAAAATTGATTCGATTCATGGTATCCTTTTTAGCCGGTCTGCTCTTCCACACCATTGTGTGTGAGCCCAGAATCCCTTGGCCCCTCAACAAAAAATGTTAGCGAAACCGCTGGTTTTTACAGAACTCTGGACAGACATGTAGTAAGTTGCAGTTAAACCATTATTCAGTATTCTACTCTTTCAATAAGATTCCAAAGTTGCAGTCAATTCCAAAGTTCCCACCACCTCCACCACCCGTCGAAGAATCCCAGGCAGATACATTTGTTGCCTTCGATGACGATGAGTTAGCGGTAAGAGCTTGATTACTTCAGTACTATTCATTCTATGAACTACTCTATAAAATTACAGCTATGGGAAGTAGAGAAGCCGCGTATGTGCTTGGATTCAATGTGTACTGTACTGCCGATAAGTGACGACTCTATAGTTCTGAATGAGGTGAGTACTGAGGTCAGGATCTTTATTGGTTTTTTTAGTGATAAGTGACTTCCGAAAAAAAAACGAACCGGTGGGGGACAACAGGTAGGCCAGACACAGCTTGTCCCTTGCAGGGTCAACACCAACTTCCGGCCTCTTTCTAAATTCCCACACAGAATCATCTGCTGATCGTAGGGATCCCTTCACCATAAGTTTCAGCTCACAATCTTACGTTCAGTCGATCTCCTCCCACGTCATTCTCATTGACAATTCAGTTTTGCGACCTACAACATACGCCGGCTTATGGGCGGAGTCGGTCCTAAAGTCTTGGCATTGTGTCTGTTCTGAGGGCGCTTCGTTTCTCCCCTTCTGCCCGGGATTTCAAAGAGCGGAGGGGGTGTCAACAAAGCAGGTACACTAGAAGGCCTGAATCTGCCCATACGATCAACGTGGACTGTGGTTTTAAGGGCGAATAAAACCCCACAAATTCGCCAACGCTTACCCTCACAGTAGGTAACGGTACAGGGAGAAATGCTGAATTCTACTAGTTTTAATACTAGTTTTACTTCTGAGGAACTAATCAAAATAATTTAGGATGGAGTGGATTTAAATGAGACATTCATCGATGAAGTAACATTTTACGTCGATCGACCGTCATCGGCCATAAGTGATACTCTAAGTGTCTTACGCGTCTATAGCAAAACCGATCCGTCAAAATTCCACGAAATTTACTTGTCAAAAAGCGTTGAAGTCTGATAATGTGCTATAATATTCACATTTTACCGTTTACATTCTTAATAATGTAAATGTATAGGATTGTTTGGTGATCATACAAGTTGCTCACTCTAATATATGTGTCATATATGTACATAATGTAATAATCTGAATAAACTGATTGTTGTAATTTGGTCTTTGAAATCAATAAGGCTGTGGTGACCATCAGAATATAACGAACAGTCGTGATCTTTGCAAACGATAGGGTGGGCAACGGGAAGTAAATTGAGGCGCTGCCAAAAAGGCCTTCTCTCCATTTACTGCGGGATTACAATGGCTTTCCATGCGAGGAGGATGGCTGCCCTGACAGCGCTTCAATAACGCCCCATCATTTGCGGAAATCATGGCTGTAAAAGACCACAAGGGACGATGGTAAACCAATGAGTCAAAAGTTGGGAAATCCACTTTTTACACATAAAATGCGTCCATTTACGGTAAAGTTCCTTTACTCGGTCAATGGGTCATGCCTCGGCCTTATATATAGCTGGAAACCCCCGAATCTCTCCAGGTAGTAGGGGGGGGGGGCATGCGCGGGCATGTAGCTAGACGTTCGTAGTATGGCGCACTGGTGAGCGCGGTCGATATCGCCCGCTTTGAGATCTTGACTCGGCTTTGATACACATTAATCCCATAAAAATGTGAAAAGTTGTCGCGCATGACCGCACGATACGTCGCGCCGCGCATGAGCATTAAATCAATAAGATCATGATAAGAAAGTTAGGAAGTGGAGGAAGTGTAAGGCTTGCAACGCCGATTTCGCCGTCGCCGCATGTTGTACCTGGAAGCGTAGTTGTCCGGACGCGCACCCAAGCTAAAGAAATGCGTAAGGTGAAATCCACCGTTTGATGAGGGGTGTGTCAATGCGTTTTCTGTTTCTGCTTGTCTTTAATTTTCCCTCTTCACAAGGAGTGGGAATAGAATAGGTGTTAGAACACATGAACCAAGGTTTCTTCCCCACCCACTGTGTGAGCTCAGTTCGAGACTTGTTAGCTGGACTTACTTGGTGAGATTCAGATAGGCATAGTCGTGACCGCTAAACTCCTTGTCGAACGGTGTGGTATCCATTCGACGCTGTAGTTCTTCCAGACGCCGCAAATTCTCAGCGTTACGTTTCGCAGTGTTCACAGCGCTCAGTATTCGTTTAGCCGACACAACTGTACGAAGAAGGCGATCTTGTTCCTGAAATTTTAGCTTTCAGCACCAGCACGAATTTAAACCGAAAAAATGGGTTTCAAAAAAATTTGAAGATAAGAGCTCTGCTTATATCCGCGCTAGATGAAGGGCGCTAAGGTAACGGGCCCACGCGGCGGCGCGACTACGTTTCGTCTACGGCACTATGTCGCGCGCGACTTTCGTCGTCTGCGCTCTCCTAACAACAAGCCTAAGCCTTGGGCAAAGGTTCACGAAGAGCTGCTCACGCGCTGCGGCATGGTCTCGCTTAACTAAGTCGCGTCAAAGAAGGATCGGTAGGAGCCGTGCCAGTTAGGCTAAGTTCGTATTTTTCGATTGACTTTGCACTTACCTCGCTAGGCTCATTCGTGTATTTTGCAATGGTTTCAAGCAGAAGCGGATATTTCACGAGACGTTGCATTTCAACAGGTATCATGTCTTTCAGTTGTAATTTCCGACATAGCGCGTTCGCCTCAGCATCAGCCAAAAATCGCACCAAAGCGTCCTCTTTGTCCTTCTTGCACCTGAAAACCAAGTATTCATTGTACATGTGAACTATACGCTGCCACGAATATAGTCTGTTCTTTATCATTTTCAGAACGGATGACCTTTCGAAAGTGAAACCACAACCTGTCGCTCTTTGTTTAGAAGCGCTTTGCTTCGGATTTGGCCTGAACTTTTGATTAACTTCAGAGCTTACCTTGTTCGGAGCATTTCGAGCGCATGTTGTTGATGTTGACAAAAGGTTGACGTGACTTGCATGAACTTTTCACCGGCTTCACCTTCAAACATCTTCTCCATCAGCTCACCGATGTTACCGTAAAGTCCATTGAGATTTGGATCTCGTCGCCACTGAAAGAATCAAAGTGAAGTAGCCAAACTGCTGAATGCTGGAAAAGATCCCAAATGGCATTTCAAATATTACTGAACTTCTTTACACGACGCCCCGTGAGGCATGTGCCTTTTTGACCTTCCCACCCCCTCTTATTCCCTGTGATATAAACACCCACCTGTTCAGCGGCTTGCCGCATCCGTGTTGACATATCCGTATGAATTTCCAATAATTGATCCAAGTTTGCAAATAAGTAAATGCACAACATCCGGCGACACAACATTATTCGTTAGCATAGGCTTATAGAATACCCGTAATAAAATCTTCAGATTTCCGTACATGAGTCCGTTCCGTATGGAAAAGTTCTGAAAGAAAAAGGTCTGAAAATGTAACAGCCATTGTCACCGAAAGTAGGCGGGGCGTGTCAGCGGGGAGTGGGTTTCTGGCGCCAGATGTTTTCCATCGACTGCTGCGGTATCGGGCGTTTAGTGAATGGCGCGTAACAAGCTGGCGTTGCGCGACAACCCTTTTCCTGTTGACACGCCCCGACTGACTTCATTGATAGCAACTGTGCATGAAAACTCATGCACTAATAGATATACGAATAATCATTAATCGATAATCGTACCGTTGATGACTTCTTGTCGTTTCTTCTCCTTCGGTTTGAGATGGCGAATCACATCCCAGCCGACGAGTTGATCAAGGGGTGGAGCTTCCGTTTCTACCTCCAGATCGCTGTCGTCTTCATAGATAGACGACTGCTGCATTCGTTCAACCGCTCTTTTCATCTAGACAGTAATAGTTGTACCTCAAAGTTGGTTTATCATCAGTAATTGAATAGTTAGCAACTGGTTACCTCATCGTCGACCATACTCCTTCCACTATTACTTTGAGCATCAAGGGCAACACGACTTCCATCTAGTGATCTGAAAGCGTTCTCTTTTCAAGACCTCAATCATTTGAATTCGCTTAGAAACGTGCTCCTTCCCCTGGACAGGATATGATCACAAAATTCGCGCCGTATTTGAACAATGCGCGATATACCGCAGTGAGCACAAATCGATATTCCTCTGCTTCAGGTGTTCAAGAAACTTGAGACTTATTTGATTACGGAATTAAACCCTGCGATAGTTCGCAGATAAAAACATATTCACTCGCTAGTGGGTATATCGTATATCTACTCGGTTAATTTTTGGAATGGTTTTCTCAACAATGCGCTAGTTTGTCGCTCGAGACAAACGGTACACTCTTCTCTATGGTTCCCGGCCTTGCTATATGCGAGGAGACTGGGTTCGCAGCTGCAGTACCGCGCCGTTCTCCCTGCTCAAAGGGCGTACACTCCCTGCTCAAAGGCGTACACGTACGGGGCTGGAGGGCTGTCATACTCGAGTGTTGTTTGGGACTCTGCGCTGCCGCACGCGAGCCACACGCCTAGCCATAGCCAAACGCGCTACTTGTCTGCGCCTTTCACATAGGATTGTCGTGCACCTCTTTGCGAGATTGCGGACTCGCAGAGAGTTCTAGTATCGGCACAAGTGCTGCACCTCGAGGATAACGGAGCGGTATCTCAAATGGCATCCGAGTATCAGTACCCTCTAGCCCTGTTTCCGTGCACCTTGCGCAGAGAAAGTGGCACGATACTGAAGCGGTGGACCTGTCCTCCCCGCACACGGTAAGAGCCGCCCTTGAAGGTGACCGGACAGTTTGTCCTTGAGAAAACAAGACCGTGAACCCTGATAGGATAGAAGTAGCTACACTCATTCTTCTGCTCGGATCCGATAACGTCGGTGCAGTCTTGTTCGCTGTGGATGATGGGGCGTGTCAGTGCGGCCGAGTTTGGCGCGCCCCTAGCCCGATATCACCAGTTGTTAAGCGGGTAAGCAACAACAAGTGGTGGAAAGTGAGTGATCATTTCGCCGCTTTCCGACGCCCGCAGCGAACAAGATTGCAGCTCTGTCCGTGACCTTTACCGGGGGATATTGCAAGAAACTCCACCCACCGTGCTGTCTCTGATCTCGACTCGACCGTCCGTGATCGCCTTGAGCTTTCCTCTTCTTCATCGGCTGGAGGCAGATCACTACCCCACGAGGGAGTCGATCGATCACGTTTCGTTGTCAACCGTTCATCCGGGATCTGAGGTATCGTCGACTAAAATTCAGCAGTTTTTCGAGACTGATTATGGAGGGATATGAATTTTAACTTAAATTGTTTGAGACAAATAAGTGAATGAAAACAAGGTATTGGAACAAAAGAGAACAAAAAGTTGGGTTACAACACACTCAACAAAGTGATGTGATGACACCGCACCTCACTGAAAATAGGCAGGGCTAAATGTGCTTGGGAAAGAGAACTAAAGTATTCAAAGAATTGACGATGACAACAAAATTCTGTGGGCCATTTTTACGGCAGAGGATTCGGGTAGGAGGGGTGAACTCGTGAAGATCACAGGCACGGTTCTCGAATTTTTGCAATCATTGGCTATTTGTAAAAGCTGGACATTGTGGGATACGGACCTGACTGGGAAATCCACCAGCAATCGATTGGATCTCAGAAGCGAAAGCGCTCGCTGTACCTCTCCCCCTCTTGCTTTTGATTACAATATTCGGAGCGAAATCGGTCGCTTGCAAAGCCAAGTGTTCTCGCCAGCGACAGAGAGAACGTCGCAGAGATGCGTACCATTTAATCAATAAGCGTGCATCGCTCATGCATCCGCGGCTGGTGGGTATGTGACAAAAGAATCGTAATTCGCCGCGTCAGTGGGCGTCGCGTGCGACGTCGCGCCCGCCAATGACGACGATTCTAGGTCGTATTGGTCGAGAATAGACAACGTATGATTAAAAACAGCCATAAATGTCTACGATATCCTAGTATACATAAATCCAATGGTCCAGTCGGATGGGTCATGCAAATTAATGATGCCGTGCCCAACGCCGCGTGCGGCGAAGCGGCAGATTACGATTCTCTTGTCCGTCTCCCGCGGCTGGTCTGCTCTGGACTGAATCAATACATGATTCCTGAACAGCAAGGCGATAGTATAGGCAGGGTGCAGCATCGCGATGGGTAAAACTGCCATTTCAGTACGCCAACTCCCCCCTCCCACCAAAATTACTCACCGTTCAGGATCCCCTTTTACAGGCTACCTTTCATTTCTCCAAATTTTTTCAACTCCCTACCGATTTCTCAGAGAAAAGCTGCCTGAGTTCCCTCCGATCAACTGTTACAATTAGCTATTGGAAGCAAAGCCTCCCCTGGTACGACTCCCCGCTTGCCCTTCCCATCCTCCCGACAACTTCACAAATTTTACCTTTTCCTACGTTTCCTTCCACTTTTTTCGCAAATCTTTTTCTAAAAATTCCACATATATCTCCCTGAAAAAGTGAAAAACTGAAGTGGAGAGAGGCTACAGAGTGCACTTGAAACAGGGAAATTGGGAGAGTCTGGGAACATTTCTCCTAAGGGCAAATACAACATCCCCCCTCCCAGCAGCACGGGCTATATCAGATGGTTATTGGTAGATATTGACCACCCAGATCATTCGAGCATTACTCAACTTCGGGATATGCTAACTGGTACCGGAGGAGTTGGGTAGAATGAAGCCCAATGACTGGTAACTCTCGCAAGGTGGACCAGGGACAATCTTTGACCGGAACGAAATATCATCATTGTGCCGATTTTTGTCAAGGTTAGCGTGTATTCATGCTCACCACACGATTTCGCATGCTATGCGATCTACCAACAGGTTTATCGTGAATCTCCTGCCCGATGCCTGAATCCGAACTTGTGGACTTGACATTGTGATCGACACGTGGCGCTTCCTCATCTTCTGCATCCGACTTCCCCATTAATCCTGGGCGTCGCGTCTGAAAAAGAAACAATTCTTATTGCAGAAAATGTTATGGAAAACCACAGAAGTCAAATTCAAGTAACCTGTGTATTCGTAATTTCTTACTACCCTTTTTTTTGTGGCATTTCACAGCTGGTATCGTCGCAATCAGTCAGGGCGATGCCAAGGCACTTGGAATGAGACCAACCGCGAGGGGACTTTTCGCCACTGATTTTTTCTTGCTAAATCGGATCACGAACCATCACCTTGGTAGAGAAGAGCAGTACGGACGCGCGCTCACTCCCCGCCCCCTTACTGGCGCCGCGCGGATGAAATCGACGAATTCACCTAATAAAGCATTCAATGTGCGTATACGAGTTGGAATCGTTTCAATCCACCACCTTAGCACTGATCTTCTGCAAGTCTTGAAATGTAGCCGCGAGTGTATGTATCTTTGATAATTTCCGTGTATTGGTAATGAGCCAATCACAGGCGACTACTATTTCTGGTAGTGGCAAACAGCCAATCACAGACTAGTATTTCTGATAGTTTGTCGGTGCTGCTCACCCTCGGAGGATGCAGGGCTGCGGCGTACCATTAAAAAAGTTTTCCCAGATACGATGTTTGACTTTGCTAACAAGCAGGTTATTCGAATAACGATTGTGATGAAGTATTACTTGTTTAGTTCACCTATATTTTCAGTTTGTTTCTTTCTAGATAAATGAATTACCTTCGATTTGTGTTTGCCTTGTGTTGCAGGATAACAGGCATCTGTGAGCGAAGATGTGCACTGAGTATGTACCTTCACGTCGCAGTCTAAAAAGTAATGATAATCGGAATCAAATAATTAATCGATAAAATTTTGAAGTGTGAACAGTTTACTTGTTAAATTTATATACTTACTGGCACAAAAGTAACACCATGGTTGCATTCCCCAGATGGCATCACGGCACTGATAGCAGTAGTGTACCGTGTTCACCGGATTCACAACAAACATATGTCCCTTGACCTGAAATCATCTGCCACTAAGGTTTTCGCAGCTTATGGTCAAAGCCATTACTAGATTTGGAGGCAATTTCCAAGCCGATGCACGGGAGGAGTTACTTGGGTGACAGCCCCTTTTCATTGGTGCGCTTCTCGTTCTAAGGTGGATCGTGCAAAGGAGGTACACAATGTTGTCCAAATAAGTACCACCCACAGAGCCAGCGGAGAATGCGGGGAAATGGAGCAATTTAGGGGCCTACCACATTTGAAAAAAGTCTGGGCGCTGTTTGTCGACGAGGGGGCATTTTGTACTATCATTGCTTCCTCAGTTCCGGTTTACATGTCTCACTCTGGCGAAACCTGTGAACTCTTGTGAAGCTGGAACAAGGTAGTCAAGCCATCATGTTAAAACCTGTCAACTCGAGAAGAGGCTGTCTAGATAGGCCGACACGTCGATGGGAAGTAGCAAAAGTGCAAAATGCCCCCCCCCTCGTCGACAAACTGCGCCAAAAGTCTGTGTAAATGGATTAGCCATTATAGTCTCAGTCTCATAGAACAACAGGGAAAACATTAACAAAGAACGTGGAACGATTTTTTGAAGAAATATCAAGGTACGGTAAGAAAAATATAGACTGGAGATTCTTCAGTGGGAGGGGAGAACAAAAAAAAACAGAAAAGTTCATGATACAGCACTGGACAGGACTATTTAGCATTTCCCCTTTTTACGATCACTAGTTTTTCAGGCCTCTTGGGAGTCTGTAGTTCCTTCTGTCCGCAGACCCCAAATGGGGAGTTTCGCTCAGCGTTTCCCGTCCAACTGTTGAAAACCTCGGTCCTCGAGTATTAATTTTTCGGAAATCCGAAAATCCCCGGTTCCCCTTCAGCGAAAGACGAAAGGCAGATCATTGTCAGAATAGCGACTAGTGGTGGCAAAAGACCATTGTAAAAAGTTCGCCCTGCTTAAAATAAACAACACGCTTAACAAATTCTTCTGGTCGCAGAAAAAAACAGTGCCTGACTCGAGCAAATATTGCAGAAAAGAAATAACAGATAATCCTAGAGAAGGCCTTCTATGGGAACGCTAGATTAATCATCATTTCTACTATTAATAGGCTCCAGCCTCTGGTTGCTCACCTGGGCCAACTCCTTTAGTGGATTCGCATAGTGTCGGCGAATCAGATCGAGACTCCTTACCTGAGCCTTCGCTTTCAGGCTGCTCGGCGGCTTTCTACTTTTTCCACCCTTATCCTTCATGATAAATTGAGGATAGCGTTCCATGATCTTCTCCCATGATGTTGTCGATGGCTTGGGACCGAGAACAACCTGAAAGCAAATATGGTAATGCTATGGCTTTTGGAAATTTAGTGGAAACTATACTGGGATGGGAAAGAGTGAAAGGGACCGATCCTTTTTAATGTGACCGATTGTTTTAGGATGCGCCGTTGATTCGAGTTTCATTCTCAATCGCAGTGGACTTTTGACTGAGGGTCGCACCATAGGGCCTGCGACGGCCAGCTGATGTACAAGTAAGTGCTCTGATTTTCACAAAGAAGTTCGGGACCAACTATGCTATCTCTTAGGAATGGAAGGCTTGAGTGTGGTCCTGGTCCTAGACATAGATGAGTGATCCTTTGCATCTCCCCTCCCTGCTTGGCTGCTTGAGCGGTCAGCGGGCTCACTCACTATTGAACTGCGTTGGCCCAGTATCTCATTTGGTCAAAAGTAACTAAATCCCATGTCCAAGGGCAAAAAGGTGCGAGCGCGGCGACGGCTGCAACGACCCGGAAGGAAAAAAGATGATGTGAAGGTGCAGACGGGTTTGTCAAGAACAGGTAAGTTGGCTCCAGGATCTCCGTGGATAGTTGGGATGACCTCCATATGAATCAGCGAGTCCAACGTGCGTAAGTATTGCCCACCGGAAAAAAAAACCGCTGCAGGAGTCAGGAAGGCACGGAAATATTAGCACCATACCGAATCACGGGCCCATTCATGCTTAGTAATTCTATAATCGGAGTGTTTATCTTTTGAGCGGGTACCGAATAACGGACCGAGGCTAAAATGGCCGAAGCAGGTCCGAGTTCACCCCACCCGCCTCGAACAGGGGCGCTGAAACACATTGAATTTGTACAAAGCTGGCCACCGCAATATCGTGTAGGCCACACGACAAATATAGAGCTACTACGATATCTGGAGGAATAGAAAATGCATGCTGCGCGCGCAAGTATTCGGATTGATGCACCGGCGAACTCTCCTTCTTAATCCCTTAGAGTTCTGAAATCATCTGAATTTAGCTCCTAATGACTGTCGCCAAACTCGCAACGATCGCTTGAGTTTTCATGTCACATGAATCGAAATCGTTCGTTGAACCGACAATATTCTCCAAGGCTCGAAACATCATCTGCTCACCGACCTGGAAAAATGAAATTAGTAAAATACAACGTTACAAGTCGATCAATAACAAGGGTAATTTCTATGAGAGAATTCAACGAACCCGATTCTCCATAACGGTATCGCCACGAGCTAATGTTGCTAGTTGATTGGCATCGAAAATGGTACCCAAACCTGAAGAGCAGAAGATAAATAGCTGAAAACCTTTTTTGAAAAATATGTCTTCGTTTTGCTCCAAGGGAAGATAATATGGAGTGGTCACAAATTTGCAGGGATTTGAAACGCATCTTGAAAAAACAGAAAATCCCATGAAGAATTGGTCCTTGTCTGAAAGGTTATTTTCAAAGAACTGATTGATCGAGAGCAATGCTTAGAACTACCACAAGATCAACTTTCTTAAGTTACTCAAGCCCATTTCTATAAGAGATCCCTAGACCATGGCTTCTGCTGAAGATACCAGCAAATTCTCACCTAATGTGGAAATCCCGCACAATCAAATATTGCAAAGATCTCAACGAGAGCTCAAGTGCGTGACGTATTACGCGGAAAGTTTAGCGGACGATACATTCCATCTTCACCTGTAGATACAAAACCGCGAACATTCTACACCTCTTCAACGAGAATAACAAAATGAGATTTAGATAATTGAATATGCTCAATAAATTGCGCGTAATACGGTATTCTATGCGCCGTAGGTGGTGTAGTAGGAAGCTGCGTGTTTACCACGCACGTGGTCCTGGGATCGAATCCCGGATCGCTCTCGCTCTCCTACCCTCCGGTGACGGTAAATTGGTACCATAGATGAGACTATTCCAGGTAGATTCGCCTGGAATGATTAGAGTACTGACTTGTACATCGGCTGGCCCCCGCAAGTCATTGTATAGGCCACATCGCATTCAATAAGCCACTACGATTCTGAATGGAAGTAGAATGCGTGTCGCATCCCAAAAGGGATTGTCCAACACTGAAGACTATATCCTTCATACTCACATAGCAATAGGGGTGAGTTTGATAATTCAGGGCAGAAATTCCTCTATCCTCATCAAGACCAGCGTTTTGTTCACTGACTGAATTCCAACCCACTACAGCTACTACCAGTACTGTACTTTTGCGCAATCACTTCACGAGCCCCAGCGTTGTCATAATAATGTGAATCCGCGTGGAGTTTCTCTTGTTGAAATTGCGTAGGGCGCATTTCTAGACGAAATCTGGCCAGATCGATGCACGACCGCTCATCATCCCTCCCTTCCCTCAGCATCGTCCTCCTTCCCGTCTACTACACAAATAGCTGCGATTGCCAGCGAGCGCGAAACGGATTCATTTGACTTGGAAGACAGCGCTCAAAATTTTCAGTCACAAATTGGATTCAGAACAAAAAATGTTGGGAAGCGTTCCTGCTATGAAAAATCGAACTGTGCAGGGTGCACCCTTTGCAGAAACGTGTTGATCAGCGCACCGTAGTAATACACATCAGAGGTTAAAAAAATTATTATCAAGGAGGGTAACCCAGATGACAGGAAGCTAGGAAGCTGTTCTGGAACGAGACGAAAGTGCAGAAAACCATTAAAAGCTCCCATGAAACAGCCGTTACAGGCTTCCATAGCGGTCGTCAAGAGCGTGGAAAAGGAACAAAAAAGAAACAGAATTAATTGGAATCCTAGAAATATGTATGACCAAAAGTCATTGCTAAGGGTTTAATAGCACACAGGGAAGAAAAAGGGTGAAGAGAGGAAAACAGAAGGTGGTGGATAAGACCATCGCATTTCTGCTGCTTGCGCAAAGGGAATGAAAAACAGTAGGCTTTCTGGTCATCGGAAGGCTCAAAACAATTACTGGAAGATGCTAAGCACCGAAATATTCGAAAAAAGAAGCAATTCCACAAAAAATGTCTCGGACTGCTTTGTGGATTTCTTGAATCTTTTGCTACAAAACTTTTGGTACCTCTTTATGTTTTCATTCTTAGACTCGAATGAGCCTACGAGACAGCATAATACTACGAAATTACTAGTGAGCTGAATCACAGTAAGTGCAAACCAGTGTCGAGTGTTGCAATGAATCGACATGGCATAACTAATCAGGAGTAATGTAAAGATGTGGCTAGCCAGAGAACGGTAGTCAGCCATGGCCACTTGAGTCGGAAATCGGAAGCCGGAAGTAGACCACAGATTATTAAGAGCGAAATGAAGTGTCCAAATTGTGCACAGCTAACCGGATTGTTTTGACGGAGCCCAGAAATAGGAACTCTAGTGATAATTACGTGATGGGTGATATGCTAGCCTCATCCCAGCACTTGCTCGTCACTCAAAAATTTATTTGTAAATATTAATCCACTTTACCTAATTGTCGTTTTTGCCGAAAATTTGCCATATGCTCGTTGATGTCCGTGACGGCACGTTGTCGGCCAGGAACAAATACCCGTTTCAAAATTTCCACATCTGATTCACAGATCTGTTCGGATGTTGTGGCGAGGATCTGAATAAAAGATATTCGCTTCAGTATTTGTGGCGAAAAAAGCTCCACATAGTACAGCACTTGAGATAAATTCAACCCTAACCGTGCAAAATGCACACAATTTCAATTTGAAACCAATAATGAGCAGTAAACCCTCCACTCTGTCTTTCACATGTTCCACTACTCAATTCCTTTTTTGTTCTTTAAGGTATGTTTTATAGCAGTTGACCTCTTTTTTTTCTTTTTATCGGATACTGTAGTAGACAGCGTGTT